GAGAAAAAGTTTGGGAACCACTGGTGGTAGCCCCAAATTCACCAAAGATCACCTAACATACAATTTAGCAAGCACAGTAATAATCTGATGGAAACTGATGGAACAAGTACCGTGCTGAGTCAGGGCCATAGTGACTGTTTATAGCCGTTCCATTTTAGAGATTTTTGGATATCTGAAAAGAGTCTTTATTTTGAAGATTACTTTACGATTTCCACAATCATTCAGTTCACACTGTTTGCTGGGTGTGAATGTTGTACATTATAGATGTTCAGTAAAAATAGCCAGATGGGGATAATGTTGCATGTTTGTATCTAGATATATCTTACTTTTTTTTTAAAGTAATCTAGAATGTATATAGTTCAATCTAATCTGGATGAAAGTAATTTAAATTTATACACAGGTTTAGATTAACCCTGATTAAAATGTCCAAAAAATCTTGGAGTTGTTGTATACATTTAATGAAGTGTGGTTTTCTGTGTGATTCCATTATTATTTTTTATTATTTTCCCACTGTGGTGGATATGTGGTAATGTTTTAAAATTATGAAATGCTATAGTTAATGATGCATAACTTCCATGGACGGTCTCAAGCACATTTGCTGAAAATGACAATACTGTAATATAATGATTCATTCTCCTTTCTCTAGGTTATTACTCCAGCAAAAGTGTGTGGCATCACCAATGAATCTGAAACAGTTAAAAGACTTCGCTTGGCTGTCACAAATAAGGATTTTACTTTTAAAGCAGGACAGTGGTAAGATTTCTCTCTGATTTTGTGGGGGGAAATTGCTTACAGAAAGCTCAGGATGATGAAATGTTAAAAGGAAGATACTGGGATAATGATTCTCCATTATATTTATATAACCTACTGTTTTAGTCATAAATGCTGTATAAAATAGCTGTTAAATTCAACCTCATAATTGTAAACTGTGCTTTATTAAATATATCCATATTCATACAAATAGACAAAAAATTAATATTTGCCAGTTTTCATTTTGATTCCTTCAATGATGACCTGTGGTTTATATCCATTAACTTATTGTTCTATGAATATCTTTACACACTACTTGTATTCCATTACTCTGATAGCTAGCTGCACAATGGAGCAGAGACTGAGTGCTGCAAATGTGAAAGTTAATTTTAATTTGATTTTACAGTTTTATCATTAAAAAACCCTAAAAAGTGATGTTGACCTTTGTCCCCCTAAAATTAGATCTGCTGGGTTAGTTTGGGTAGGTGTATACTTGAAAACAAACCCAATTCACTGCTTAGGCCATTCTGTGGATTAACTGTTGTGACATTTCCCAGGGATCCCCAGGGCTTTAAGGCTCCTTGCTACCACCTGTCTTTAGCATGAAGAATCCTTGTCTGTGCCTTTTGGGGGTCAGCTCCCCAATTCTACTGGCCTTGAGCAACGCAAGTACTCCCCTCTAAGCCTTGCAAGTCCCGTAGTTATTCTAAAGGTAGCAATTGGCACACCCCAATCCTCTAGCCCTCTAATCATCTCACTGGAGTGCCCAGCCTCTCGTCCGCTGGATGCTTGCAGTGTTTACGGATTTGTTTTTTCCAAAGAAACAGTAGACCCCAGTTTACCAATTCCACCTCCTCTGCTGAACATGGAGCTCTTAGATATATTTATAGTGAAATCAGGAATAAGTTTCTTTAACAAACCATGGAGATTCAAAGTAATAGCAAATAGAAGTATTGGAAACAAGAATGGTTACATATAAAATAAAACCATAACATGCATGCTAGACCCTAAACATAATTAACAAGATATTCTTGTGTCTAATTAAGTTTTGCTCACCCAAAAATCCTTGCAGCGATTTATAGCTAGGCTGGCTGTGATCCTCCTTTTATGAGACAAGCATGCTGTCAGCTTGCCTTCTTGGTGAAGGACCTGGGGGTGTTCTTGCATCCCAATATATAACAGCCCAATCCTTTGTATTTATTCATAAACCAGAGCACCCCCTCACCCAGGTGTTTGTTTCCTACTGAGAATTCCCTCTCTCCTAGATTTTTGCAATCTCTTAGTTAGCCTGGGGCTCGGTAGGCAAATAGGCATCCATTGTGAGGTGTACAATACACAGATGACCAGACCAAGGACATAGGTGTCTGTTACCTCCTGCCTGAATGGAACATTTCTGAGTTATGTCACCGGCCTTAATTCAAGACCTCAAGAACATAATTTTTAGTATAGATATCTAACTCCTTAAATATTATTTTTGTGTACACTTCACAGTGAGTATGATGACCAGTGGGCTACTGACTCTCAGTAGGGACCTCACATGCCACCCTTCGGTGAACTATTATGCATACATCTGCCGGATACCTGTAAAAACCTATGCACCTCTGTGCCCTCTGGCAGTTGGCACCAAGCAGTCCCTGGGTCACAATTGCTATTTAAACAATGTTACAGTTTTAGGAGTGTTAGAATTTTTCAGGATCAGGAGGAATTCCATGTTTCAATTCAAATAGTATTTTGTAAGATAAGTTACAATCTGGACCTCTCACTCTTGACAGTGAGAGACAAGGTGGATGAGGTAATATCTTTTATTGGGTCAGTTTCTATTGATGAGAGAGAGAAGCTTTCAGGCTTACACAGAGTTCTTCTTCATGTCCCAGATCTGAAGAGGAGCTCTGTGTAAGCTCGAAAGCTTCTCTCTGTCACCAACAGAAGTTGGTCCAATAAAAGATATTACGTCACCCACCTTGTCTCTCTGATATCCTGGGACCAACACTGCAAACAGCTCACAGTGGTCCTTTAACTTTTTTTTATTTATTTAAACTTGCTGTTGGCTTAGTCCAGCTGGAAACTGCTTTTGCTGGAATCAAAGTTTAACTGCTAGGGTGTTAACAGCATGTGTTACCAATGTAGTCTTAATATCCAGACTCTTAAATTTAGAACCAGAAAAACAAGATGTTGATTGCAATAATTTTTGTTTGTGGAGCATTTTGTTGTAGTTTTTGCACGTGTGGAGTGACGCATATTAAATTCTTGCTTGCCAGTTCTTGTTTTAGCAATTATCACTCTGAAAAGTGAAAGCTTTAATTATAATTACTCTTTTCATATTCTTTTTCCTTGAAAGTATTCTAAGGCTGTTTTTTGGCATGTCAACTTCTCTGTACTGGAAGCTATAAACCATGGTCATGTTTTCTGAGGAATAGTGCCAAGAATCAACAATTTCCTGAATAGAAAAGCCTAACATGTCAGTGAGATGCCAGAATTAAAGTTTGTCTTCATAGTATTAACACAGAAAATGGAGCTTTCATAATCTTGGTTTACATAAGCAAAAAAAATTGATTTGTTGTCCCAGGCTCTAATAGACTTCTGTTGTCTATCAAGTTACAAGTAATAATTAAAATGAACAAGAAGAGATTTGTTGCTATAATAAGGAATTTTTGAATTTGATAGATTGTGCATGCATATGTTTGTTTCTAAGTATCACGAAGGGCTGAAGGACAAAGGACCAGTAACTTTAAGCTCATCTTAATATTTCTAACTTCTTATTCCAGCAACTGTTGGATATTTATCTCTTTTCTGAATGTTTGGCTTTAAAAACTTTAACAGACAAAGGAGGATATGTGACTGAGACATACCTATAAGTTTACAAATTCTCTTTCCTCTTTTTAAATGCAGCATCTTCCCTTATCTTGGCTTCCCCTTGTTGGATAGATATGTTTTTCTAGAATTACTCCACTTAAACCGTCACCGGTAGTGTATTACTTTGGAAGTCCTCCCATGTCATCTCACACCCTGTTAAAGTAAGGCAAGCCTTCAGAAGCAGAAGTCAGTTCAAGATATTATATTACAGCATAGTACGTACGTAGCCCATTAAAACTTCTGCTGTCCATAGTGAGCCAAGTTTAAAAAATTATGTATTTTTAAAAAAAGGTACACACTTGCGTAAGTAATATTTTAGAAGGTTAAATCTTTACTGAAAATTCATGCTTTTTAATAATTTTAGTTTGAATTTGGTGTGATCTCAAACAGGGTTTTAAGAAACTAGTAATTTCCCCTGTCCATAACCAGAATACTTACTTTGGCATGATTGTGGACCGTGATTTGTGGTTTAAGTGCCCTCCATCCTAGTCTGAGCATTCCAGTTTATTCCTTTCCTGTAGAGGGTGGTACAGAGCGTTAGTATCCTCAGTTGAGGTGTTCTTTGGTACAGTAAGTATTACAGCACAGAATTGGATCACCTTTACTCAACTTCCCAGTCTGATTACTTAGAGCCTGTTTACCAAAGGTGCTGAGTACCTCCATTTGTGCTGACAGCTCCATTTGAAGGCAAGGGGAGCGGCAGGCACTGAGGACATCTGAAAGTCAGGCCCTTAATTTCTCTAGATTAGACAGTCTCCTCACGCCTCCTGTCTGTAAAACAATGTTTCTCAGCCTTTTCAGGTCGGCAACCCAAAAATGTCATGATCTCCTTACATTTACTATAAAAGAGTAAAAAATGTGTTAATGATAAGTCTATGTAACTTGTGTGTGTTTTTGAGAGATTGATGGAGAATACTTCTCTCTGAAGGGTAAGGATGTGCTCGGAGTGGAGGAGAAAGATTTTCTGTGCTTTAGATAATAACATTGCCAGTGCCTTGCCCCCTAGCTTTACCCCAAGCTGCCGTTCATAATCTCTTTTGGGATCACAACCCACCAGTTGAAAACACTGCTTAAAAACAACCATGCGATAGAAGCTAAGCCACACTCCTCCTACCATCCTCATTTAACTAGCCAACTTAATGACTCATTGTGCATTATCTGGGGCTATTAAAGAAGCTGACAGACATAATTTTGATCAGAACTGAATATTTACTTTACAGCATTTTGTGCGGGGTGTCATCTCAGGCCTTAATTGACTAATTCGTCATTCTCCCATATTTAGCAGTCTTTACCACAGTGCTCAGTTCACAAAGAGAGCAGCCCAACTGACCTTAACATAACATTTATAATAAAAGTCAGAATTTTGGTATTTGCAGCAGAAAAGTGGGAATATTCTTGACTGCTTAAATATTAAGGCAGCTCTCTTTAGGAGTTTGAAAAGCACCAGTAGAAGATTCCGAGTTAAGATCTGATTTTCAGAGATGATGGAACACAGCAACTCCCATTGACCTTGATTGATGCTCATCACTTCTGAAAATTACCCCTAGCTTTCTGAAGTTATTTAAACTGAACTATGAGGTATCTCTCTTTCATTTGTGAGTGCAGCTGGATGAAAATGGAAGACAAAGAATTTTAATGTTGAGCATTGAATTTGACTTTTAGCTGCTCTGAAAGTAACATGACCATATTTTGCAATACGATGTGAAACACATTTACTAAGACTCCAAATATTTTTAGTAGGCTTCTTATATTATTTGATACATTGTTGTTCTATAGCTTTAGTAGCATCATTTGGGAATGATCCACATGCACAGAGAACCCCCAATGGCAAAGGCTTGTCTTGTAACTTGCCAGCCACTGATATACCTAGCCTTTTACAACATGTTAATTTCTGAACGTTAAGTTCTTAAGTGTGTATTCTAAATTTAGTTTAGACCAGCGGTCTCAAACATGCGGCCTGCGGGTGGCCCTCGGGGTGACTTTCTGCGGCCCGCGAGCCCCTCGCAGCCCCCCCCACCCTCCCCCAGTGTTTACCAGAGCGGCGGCCGGACGTGCACCGGGAGCAGGGCAGACTCCCTGCCTGCCTGCCCTGCCCTGTGCAGCTCTGGGAAGAGGCTGGAACGTGGGGAAGGGGGGGCGGAGAGGCTGTGTGTGGCTGTTGCTTTAGGCAGCGCCCCCAGCAGCTCCCATTGGCCGGGAACGGGGAACCGCGGCCAGTGGGAGCTGCTGGAGGCGGTGCCTCAAGCAACAGAAACACTCAGCCCCTCCGCCCCCCCTTCCCCACGTTCCAGCCTCTTGCGGGGGCAGGGCAGGCAGGCAGGAAGCCTGCCCTGTCCCCGGTACGCGCCGGGCCAGATCCTGCCCCCCAAACCTCTCTTGCAGCCGAACCCCCTGCTGCACCCTGCACCCTGACCCCCTGCCATACCCTGCACCCCTCCTGCACCCTGACACCTGCCCTGAGCCCCCTGCCGCACCCCAACCCCCTGCCCTGAACCCCCTGCCTCACCTCACACCCCTCCTGCATCCCAACCCACTGCCCTGAGCCCCCTGCTGCAGCCCACACTCCTCTTGCACCCCAACCCCCTGCCCTGAGCCCCCTGCCACACCCCACACTCCTCTTGCACCCCAACCGCCTGCCCTGAGCTCCCTGCCGCACCCTGCACACCTCTTGCTGTACCCCTCACCCCTCCTACACCCCACACCCCAACTCCCTGCCCTGAGCCCCCACTACACCCCACACCCCTCCTGCACCCCCTGGGGGCAGGGAGGGGGCAGAGTTGGGGTGGGTATTTCAGGGAAGGGGTTGGAATGGGGGCAGGGAAGGGGTGGGAAGAGGCAGGGCAGGGGTGGGGCCTCATGGAAGGGGTGGAGTGGGGGCCGGGGGGGGGGAGGTGTCAGTAATGCGGCCCTCGGGCCAATGTACTAGTCCTCATGTGGCCCTCATGGTCATTTGAGTTTGAGACCCCTGGTTTAGACCAACACACATTATAAAAATGCTTCTTGTACATTATCAAAATGTTGTATGTCACTAGAGGGAGCTGCAGTTTAGCATGTAAAGCAGTATCACTTATTTTAGTGGCTTTCATTTTTTGACATATAAAAATAGATAGGTATGCAAAGAATTTTTTAACAGTCATATTTCTTACTCTCAGAAGAGTGCATGTGTATGGAATTAAAATCTGTTTTCCTAAATTAGTTTTCCAATCCCTTTCCTAGTAAGGTACAGTAGTTTGAAAATCAAAGGGAGAATTCATGGTGCTGAAAACGGTGGGAATTGGGTCCTCTGGCTGGACCATATTGACTTTTAAAATACATAACTAAACTTAAGTAAATGACTAATAACGTAAGATTGTAGTACCCCTTTTTTATACATTGTACTTAAGCCTCAAGAACAACCTAGAAATGTGCCAGTATAATACAAATGTATTTTACTTTCTGGCAATCTGGGAAGAAAAAGAAATAATCCTGTCCCTTTACAGTCGTAGGTGAAAAGAATTCTGATTTGATGGCATTACTCAAGCTGTGTGTTCGGATGCCAAATGCTTCTTATTGTTAAGCTAGTAATAAAAAGTGTTTACTCAACTTTGTAAAAAAGTTTTGTTCAGTTATTTTGTTATCGAAACATACAAATACAAAAACTGCTTGTGCACTATCTCTGTTGGGTTCTGAACCTTATAGAAATCAAAATGCATACGTTTTGGTAAATACAGAGTACTGAGATCAAGCCAGCCATTTTGAGTTGGAGGAAACTTGGTGAATGTTCTCATGCCTTGTTTTTAAAGTTTCTTTTATTTAACTATTTCTTAGGGTAGATTTCTTTATTCCTAAAGTTGCCGTAGTTGGTGGATTCTCAATATGTTCCAGCCCTGGTCTACTGGAACAAGAGGGAGTATTGGAACTGGCAGTGAAACATACTGTACATCCTCCTGCTCACTGGATTCACACTCAGGTAAATGATATTTGCAGATGATTACAGACTCAACAAGTCATTTTTCACTCAGAACTTGATTCTTTCCCATTGAAGTCAGTAGCAAAACTCCCATTGACTTCAGTGAATAGGATATGGGCCCTTATTAATACACAATTTCTAAACATCTCATTTAATTGGCCTTAACATTTATCTTGAATAAAATAAACTGATTTGTAAGAGGCAGTGAAATAACATAATTTGCATGTGGTAACCTGGGTCTAAAGTTGTGATCTTCTAACTTGTTGGTGCCTCTTTTCTGAATCTTGCTCTTAGATACAGCTCTGTTATATTACTTAGCTATATCTAGCATCCTATATTTCAGAGTAGCAGCCGTGTTAGTCTGTATCCGCAAAAAGAACAGGAGTACTTGTGGCACCTTAGGCTTGGTCTACACTAAACCCCCAAATCGAACTAAGGTACGCAACTTCAGCTACGTGAATAACGTAGCTGAAGTCGACGTACCTTAGTTCGAACTTACCGCCGTCCAGACCCGGCAGGCAGGCTCCCCCGTCGACTCCGCGTACTCCTCGCGGCGAGCAGGATTACCGGAGTCGACGGGGAGCACTTCTGAGTCTCCAGACAAGACGCGATAAATCGAACCCAGAAGTTCGATTGTCTGCCGCCGAACCAGCGCGGTAAGTATAGACAAGCCCTTAGAGACTAACAAATTTATTAGAGCATAAGCTTTCGTGGACTACAGCCCACTTCATCCTGTATTTGTGGAACTTTCCAGCAATCATGTGTAACTAAAGGGTCACAGTTAGTAAGTTTAAATGTTTATACAGTTACAAATGGTTGACAGACAAAAATCATATGTTATAAAAGGGACCTTTATGTCAGTAATACATAATCGGTAAAGCAACACAATACTTCAGAGATGACAAAACCCCAATACTCTGGATTACACTTCGAGACAATTTAAGGCCCCTTTCTTTTTGTCATGCTAAGAGTAGTCTGATTTCTTTTCCCTCCTGCTGTTTTGTGATGGGTACTTCTTGAGGCCTTCGAGCATTTTTTATCATACATTCTCCTATTTACCACAGTTTAATTATGGTCACAAGATTTCCTTCCACGCTGTCTGTTCAGATATCATCCCTCCTACTTACTATCCTATGCCTATCGTCCATAGTTCTCTAAGTGTGGCTGCAAGGTCTCAGCTAACAGATTCTTCCAAGGTTACAGCCATTGCTGCTCTGTTTATTGACCAGAAGAGTCACAGTAAAAAATCAAGCAGTGAGAATCCCCAGGTTGATCCTAACCCAGCAGTCACCATGTGACCTTGCACTGCACTTCTGCTGCTGTTAAATCAGGTTAGTTTCGTGCATCGCTGGACTTTACATGAAATGACTTGTTTTGAAAGGCTGTGTAGAAAATGTAGGACCAATGTCACTGGCTACACACTTAATGAGATTACACAGGGACGTTTTCTATTTCTTTGGTGTTGCTCAGTAATACCACTGAAAGCCTAACTTAATCTTCCATCTCTGCGGCATCTCTGAAGCTGTTATCCGTCCTTAACACTGCTGTTGAATTTTCTAGGTGAATTCACAGGAAAATACTCAGTTCACATGTAAACTAGTTCAAAAGTTGATGCTGCAGAAGAATCCTCAGAATATGAACTGAGTTTTCTATTAAGCAAGTGCTTTATTTCTGCAATGAGGAAAGGGGAAGGAAAAATGTAACGACCTCTTTGAATCCTGTGACACATATTTGGTAGGGAAGCCGTGAAACTTAATCAATTACATTTAATTTGTAATGCATTTTGAGATTCCAGGATAAAGGATGCTTTAGAAATTCTAAATATTATTTGTTTTATTTACTTATTACACCTGATTTTTTCAAATAGATTTTTTCATAATTAACTTTTAATACCTTATTTATAATAGTATATTTCATCCTGCGTGTTTCCAATACACTTATAATCTTAACAACTTCAAGAAGACACACTTCTGTGGATAAAGTTGTAGTGTAGTTTTTTTGCTGTTGAATCCATCTTCTTCGTCTCTCAGCCTACGCCATTTCAATGCAATGCTTGCAATTTTAGTAGAATATGCTAGTTCTATGCTACAGGGTGATGCTTCCCCACCAAATCACTCCAGAATTAATAGTCTTCACTAACACGGTGACTCTTAATACACCTCTAGCCCGGAGCTCTTTAAATCACCGCTGGAGCCCTGCCGCCGCTACCCTGGGGCTCCGGCAGATGGGCTCGGGTGGCGATTTAAAGGGGCCGAGGCTCCCCGGGGCCGGAGCCCCGGGCTCTTTAAATCCCCGCTGGAGCCCTGCCACCGCTACCCCAATATAACGGAGTTTCACCTATAACGCCGTAGGATTTTTGGCTCCTGAGGACCGCGTTATATCAGGGTAGAGGTGTAATAAGCTTCTTCTCTAATGTGGTTTCCATTAGTATGGATGCATAGGTGTGTCTTTCTCATCAGTCAGTCAGGTTATTCCATTGGTCCCTGAACTGCACAGGGGGCTGCTGGTGTAAAAAACAGTTGCCTAACTCAGAGCCCTGCCCCGCCCCCTTCTCCACCCTGAGGCCTGTCTGTGCTAATTCTACAAGAGGCCAAGATGGTGAGGGATACAAAGTGGACGGGGGAGAGCACTTTTGTCTCTTCCTGTTTTATTTTCTGGGAGAAAGTCTGTCTTCCCCTGTTCCAGGTACTTCTTGACCTCTTCTGAGGCCTGGAAGAAAGAAGGTGCCTCTGTGAGGCATGGAAAAACGGAAAGAGCCTGCCAGTGTGCTGGAAAAAGGAGGAGGAACTGGGCTCAAAAATAACGCATACAAATTGCCTAATACCACTTGACTGGCAGATAAGAGGAACTCACTCATTTGTCCACATTACACAATACAATTAGCAAGGAAAGAAACATTTTGGGTTTTAGGGTGATGATGGTAATTACTTTATGGGCCTCCTGCTTCCTTACAATCCCAGTTGTGTGTAACACTCTGCTTCAAAGGATCTTCTTTCCTCATCTTGGTACAGGTAGTCTTTTGGGGCTTGGACCTTTACTAAATATATGCCTGTCACTGATGGAATCTACTCTTCATGGTAGACCTGGTTGAGACAATGTCACTTAACTCAACCCAAGATTCGCCTTTTTGATTTTGCTTTACTTATTGTTTTGTAAAGCACTCAAGACAGTAATTTCTCGGTCTGCTGGAGCCTGACAAGTGTCTAGCTTAATCTTCAGGTTCACTTCATAAATGGTTTTGTAGTAGTAGCATCCCACCAAAATGACAAATAAGGGTCAGTCTTCTAGCCTCCTGCCTCAACATTTCCTTTTTGTTTTTTTCTCATCTTAACATGAAGTGATTTGGCCTCGTCTGTTTCAATTGCTATTTCCTGATAATAGAAGAGACTTTCTGGAGGCAGCGCTTTTTGTCTCTGACTGATGAATTGCTGTTCCTGGTGGATTTCCCCGCCCCCCCTTTTCTTGAATTTTTACCTCTCCTCCTTTTTCTGTTTGTCCCTCTTTCCTGTTTGTTCTTCCTCATCTGTGTGGTCTAGAGTGAGAACATAAGATTCTGATCAGGAGTTCTGTCTTCTATTCCTGGTTCTGCTACTAACTTGTGACCTTGCTTAATTTTTCTATCTCAATTTCCCCCTTCATGCAAGGGTGTCAGTCTGGAATTGAAAAAGCTTTCTCATGTTCCAAGAGGACATTACCCCAGTGTGATATACTCAGGGCAGTTTCACTTTTCCATGTATTAAACTTCTTTTGCAGAGTTGCTCTCAGCTACTACCTCTGTTTGTATACGACTGGAATTTTGATTTTGAGGGGGAAAGGGTAACATTTTTACCCTGTGGTTTTTGTAGTTGTTTAATAAAGCAGATAGAAATATCACTGTAAGAGAAGTTTCTTTTAGGGGGTTCTCTCCTTTTTTGGAGTGGCAGTGGGGAAGAGAGCCCTTTTTAGGTCCACACAACTGCAGCATGACTTCCTCCCGTGGCCTGCCTCCTTTCCCCTTAGCAGAGTCTTTCTGAGAATAAGGGCCCTGGACTTAATGGGAATCTCAGACTTTAACCTTGGGTCTTCACAACAACACACATTTTCATTGTGTAAAAATCCTAACATGAATCACTCCTTAGTGTGAAATATCTTGCATCAGCCCTCATGGGGGAATGTCATCAGTCCTTTATTAGGGCCGTGCCTTGGCCTGAGGGCAAAAAATAGGCCCCTTCAGGGCATTCAACCAACTAACTTCAGATAACTGGGTTAATTTTGAGTGTGTGTTTTTAAAATACTTGAGCTTTCCCTCACGGGTAAAATATGTAAAAACTAACAATGATTATCTTATTCTGAAGCCCAGCTTGTCTTATGACTTAGCGATGTATGACGACTTGTATTTTGTCCTTTGCTTTTAGTTAAAGTTAAAATATTATCTTTTTTTTCTGCCCCTAGTGCTCTCTTGACTCAGAAGTGGCTCTGCGAGTGGGAGGCAATTTCTTCTTTGATCCTCAACCTGCTGACTCCCCTGTTAACCTTGTGCTGATAGCAGGGGGAGTAGGAATCAACCCATTGTTTTCCATACTGCTACACGTAGCAGATTTTCATAGAAATCAAGAGAGTGAAGAAAATGGGTATAAAATGGGAACAGTGAAGCTGTACTATAGTGCAAAAAACACAAATGAACTCTTATTTAAGGTAGGTAAAAGGAAAGTAGTTTTCTTGAATTGTTTGTTCTTTTCAGAAGGCTTCTTGTTCAGTTGGTTTGTATCAATGTAGTGAGGAGAAGTGCTTCTCATAGACCAGGTCCCTCTTGTGCTAACGGCTCTACAAACACAGAACAAAAAGCGTGTCCCTGCCCCATTGACTTCCGTGGTGCAGAATCAGGCCCTGTATGTGTAAATTTTCTGCCTTTCCCCCTTATTGCTGTTTTATTGAACTTAAATACCTCTGATTTACTTTCTGTTTGGGAACATCTGACCTTATGATCCAGTATAATGGTTGCCAAAGAGACAATTGAAAGTTAGTCACAGGTTGTCAAGTCGTTCTAATGGAAAACGTTCTAATGGAAAACTAATAAAACCAGTTCTAATGGAAAATGTCTTCTGAAAAATTCTTGCTAAAATTACGCACAGGCGCATACACGTTCATGCATCTTCAAGGTGCCCACAATTGCAAAGATTACATAGTCAGGAAGCAGCATCAGTACATGCGGGGGAACTTCTAAACAAATAAAGTCTTGTGGCATTAACCACAGTTGCAGTTAAAGCACAAACATTTCCAAAAGAAGCCTTCCAAATTTCTAGTCAAAAAGCTACGATTCTTGTACAGATCTAGACGAATTACCTCCTCAAAGACAATTAGCCAATTTTTCAAAAGTTGCATCTTATTTTTGATGCCTCTATTTCTGAGTACTCTTCTTAAGATACTGATTTTTCTTTCTTTTCAAGAGCACTCCTTGACTTTAGTTGGAGGTGTGGGTTCTGATCATCGTCCCTGATAATCAGACCTTTGGTATTTAAAGCTGAGTATGTGAAACTAGTGACCACTCTTGAAAACAAATTGTAGTTACACCGATGGAATTTCAGAGAAGCTAGGATTCATCTTTTTTCAGATTATGTGATTCACATTCTTGGCTTGTACAATAAGAATTTATCAAACTGATCAAAATTGTTGCTTCAAAACATTTTTGCTCCATGTAAACTGTAACTGAATATTGAAGTATTACACCCTGTTGTGTGTGTCTGTGCACATCGAATGGCTGAACATATTTATTGGTATTGTTTCAAAAGATTTGGTGAATGTAGTGCTGATGACTGTTGTTGGATTGATAGCCCTGCAGATTGACATCCTTTTCCCACAGAACAGCAGCATGTATTATGCAACATTATTTTTCAGCATGCAGAAAAGGTACAGATGTCCTGTGTGAAGTGCAAGTTTGCCAACAGTATCCCATTAATGTGTATCAGAATCCTGGTCCAGAGATTAAAGGCTTATTTGGTCTCCTTTGGCTACATCTGGGTGTAAAAATTGTATGGCGGGCCATGAATGCTCACAAAATCGGGAGTTGGAGTGCAGGAGGGGCTGAGGGCTCCAGCTGGGGGTGTGGGCTCTGGGGTGGGGCCAGAAATGAGGAGCTCAGGGTGTGGGAGGGGGCTACGGGCTTGGGCAGGAGGTTGGGATGAGAAGGGGTGCAGGCTCTGGGGTAGGGCTGGGGATGAGGTGTTGAGGGTGCAGGAGGGTGCTCTAGGCTGGGACTGAGGGGTTTGGAGGGCAGGAGGAGGATCAGGGCTGGGGCAGAGGGTTGGGGCCACGGGGGAGGCCTCAGGGGTGCAGGCAGGCTCCGGGCAACTCTTGCCTCAAGCAGCTCCCGGAAACAGCAGCATGTCCCCCTTCCAACTCCTACGCGGAGGCACGACCAGGTGGCTCTGCGCGCTGCCCCGTCCGCAGGCGCCACCCCCCCCCCACAGCTCCCAGAAGCAGCAGCATGCCCCCCTACGGCTCCTACACGGAGGCGCAGCGTTGGCCATGTGGCTCTGCTCACTGTCCCGTCCACTGGCGCCGCCCCTGCAGCTCCCATTGGCCGCAGTTCCCGGCCAATGGGAGCTGCAGGGGGTGGTGTTTGGGGCAGGGGCAACATGCGGAGAGCCCCCTGGCTGCCCCTACACGTAGGAGCTGGAGAGGGGACATGTCACTGCTTCTGGGAGCCGCGTAGCAAGCCCCCGACCCCGCTCCCTGGCTGGAGTGCTGGAGCAGGGCAAGCCCCTGACACCGCTCCCCGGCAGGATCTTGAGGGACAGATTAAAAGGCCGGACGCGGCCGTAGTTTGCTCATTCCTGAACTAGGAACTGGAGTAAATTATACATAGGCCACTAAACAGCTGTCATATAGTCATGACTTGTTCATTACAGAATTGGGCTGGATTTAGTGACCTAATGGTGAAAAGTTCTCATTAACAATCTGCTCATTGCCATTGATACATTAAAAATAATACTATTTCAACCAGTGGAAAGAAACTTTTTCATAGAAGTATAGTGTATTTTTATCTCTATGCTCTGCCTTACTGATGTACCCTGTATTTTTTTTAACTGTACCACTGTTGACCTGCTATGTCAGACATGCCAACCCTCCCTTATTTTCAGTAATCTCTTGATTTTTTTTAAATGTAATTATGAAATTACTATTCCAGGTTTAAATCTATCACTTTTGCAAGTGCGCACGTGTGTGTGTGTGTGTGTATGTGTATGTATATGTATATGTGTGTATATATATATACACACACCACCACTCAGGTCCTACGAATATAGCAAATAATGTTGTGGCCACTGTGAGGATCTGATAGGAGGCAAGCCGTGATGGTTTAGAATGGGTTGGGACACTGCTGAATTAACTGTCCAAACCACAGGCTGCGTGTCGTGCTCTAGCTGCCCCGTGTATACCCTGCTGGACTATGTTAATGTGCTGTAGGTACCTAGAGCATGCCAGGGCCAGGGGGTTCCGCATGTGGCAGTGAGAGCACAACACATAGCCTGTGCTGTGGCCCTACAGATAATCACTGCAGCTTGTCTTCTATTAAACCCTTACCAGGGAGTCTGCAGGGGAGGAGAAGCCAGAGGGGTGGGAGGAGGCAATGAGAGTAGAGAAGGAGAGAGGGAACATGACAGAGGAGAGGATCATCCTGGGAAGGAGGTCCAGGGCGAGGACTGACCAAGATAATTGAAGGCCCTAAGTGGCATAGGCAGGCAGCTTTCCTCTTCCCTACACCTGCCTTTGATCATAAACACGGAGGGGATGGTGGAGGTCCTGGTTTCTTTAGGTGGAGGGGAAGGGAAGGGAGATGGAGAGAGAGATCCAAGCAACTTCCCTAATTTTTTTTCCATAAACATCCCTAAAAGTCTCAGAGCAAAGTTGGCATTTCTACTATGTTTTGATTACGTCTGGATAAAATAAGCTGAATTTTATAACATTTTTTTAAAATGTTACTTTTTTTATTTGGTTACATAAATTTCACACCCTGAAACACCAAGAGACTGAGAATTTCTTGCATAATTTGAAAACACAAAAAGTCACCTTTTTTGCATGAAATTTTGCATATGTGAATTTCAAATAACTGGGTTTGGTCAAATTTATACTGAAGAGTTTTGACAAAGTTAAGAAGTAGAGATGGTAGCATAGGGCTGGGAATAATGCTTCCTTACATCACAGGGGGTGCTAAGGATAAAAAACATTAGCAATTATGAGGTGCTCAGAATTTGCTAATGCTAGGTGTGTAAGTACCTATATAGATTTTCTTCAAACAACATTTTTTTAAATTGCTTCTGTTTTCCTAACTCAAAAATGTGAAAACACAAATTAAATGGGGGAAAAAACTGTTAGTTCTGTGTTTTTGCCAGCCCTAGTTTTGATCAACCATCATGTTGCTGCTACATCTCATAATACTATGTTGGTTGTTTAGTATATTATAGTCCTTGTGATAATACTTTGCCGTCATCTCAATGTTTATGTGACAGTTTAAGGATTGAGTAGTACAGCACTTGGATGTAGGGTCACTGATAACACTGTTAGTGTCAAATCAGCACAGCTTCCATAAGGGAAAATTGTCTCTCTCTAATGAGTTAGGTTATTTGAAGAAATCAGTGGCTTTTGGTCATAAAGGATTGAAGAAAATAAACACTAGGAAAAGGGCAAAGATCTGGGTGGATATAAAAAATGGCTGATCAGTATGCTCTGCTCCTCTGAATGTAGATAAGTAAATGGGTTGAATGGCTGAGGTCACTACTGGGTTTGGTTTAGTACATTAATGACTTGGAGGAAGTAGACAGTGAATGGGTGAAAACTCCAGGTGAAACAATATTTTGGTTTGCAAAGACTGAAGTTTAGGAAACTCTGATGTATTTAAACACATTAGGAGATTGAGCAGCAAGATGGCTGATGTACAGGTTATCCAAGATAAAATGTAAGGTGAAGCCTGTTAGTATAACATTGTCTAAAGTGCTCACATCCGCCGGTTGCCTCTGACTTCTATTATTCTCCTGCGTGAGAAAAAGAAAGTCAATGTGTGTAGGTCACTGAAGGTATCTACCCATTGCATAGCCAAATTAGAATAAAATAATTTCTTGCATATGAAATTAGTAAAATAATGCAGAAGCTGTTGTGACATTTGGCAATAATTTGCCCTCATCTAATGGAATGTCTGCATGTTTGATCACAGCACTTTAATGATATAGTTACAAAGTTAAGGAAGATGGCTATAGGAATGTCAGGGCTACTTTTATCCAATGATTGTATAGTGGGGTTGTTTAGTGTCTCAGGGACAGGAGTTAGGGGCTTAATATATTAAACTATGCAAAGAACTGATGAGTCCCTCTTCTTAGTTACTAAAACCCTGTTGCATTGTATGAGATGACACACAATGAAATTAAAAGGCAAGATATTTAGATATAAAAGGTAATGTTTCTTACTGTGTCTGTAAGAAAAAAATCGGGAAATGGTATGACGCTTGCCAGCAAGCCCTCTGTTTGTCATGTCTATTTAGATTACAAGTTCTTTGGGATTCAGACCCTCTCTCACAATGGGTCTGTATAGTGTCTAACACTACAGGGCCCCTCATTGGGGCCTATAGACTTCATTGTAATACAAACAATAAGCAATAAATCGGGGTGGGGGGGGAACATGATCCTTGTTTCTCAGTTGTGCTAGGCAAGTCAAAATTAATCAAACCTTAGGCATCCAGTTGAAAGGTGGATTGTCTGCAGGACACAGTAAAGAATTTTCCTTCTCCACGCAGTATTGCATAATTAAGACAAATGCATCCTGTGTGGCAGAGAAAGTGTTTGCTTCCACTAAAGCATCTCATGTTCTTTGCTGCTGGGGGCAGAATAACACAGTTGCACCAATAGCTTCATTCCGTAGAGTAATTACTAATGTTCCTGTGTGGTTTATAAATATATACTATTTTGAATGGGGGTGGGGATGCCAATACTTTATAAAAAATCTTCTTCTGCAATTTTGTGAGAGCATAGCCTTTATATTTGAGCATTTTGCAAGAGAACAGAGTGTGATAATGAGATGTGACTAGAGATTGCATTGCCACATTTGAATGATTTATTATGCATGTTCTTTCTTCATGATCTCTTGAAATTTAGCCTTCAGAATATGTATGAAAAATCTTTGATAAATTTGTACACCGGGCTGGGGCACGCATGATCATTGCTTGGTTCTCCTTGTTATCATGAGACAACTCCATATTAAACTCCCCAGGAAACCTTTAGTGCTTCAGCAAGGATACAGAGGACCCTTTAACCCCCAAGAAAAAATTACTTGCGAAGTAGACCTTCCTTTCTATCACCTTGTCAAGTTACAGTAAATCATTGCTCTGACACTTATTCGTTTGCATGCTCTTCAGCAACTTCATAGGCAGTTTCTGTTGCCCAACTCTTCGAAAATGTAGCTCTATGGTATATTACCCACTCTATACATTATATCATATTAATGTAGTTACTGCCAGTCTCCGCTTAAATAGCTGTCTCACGTTTCTTTTAATGTGAACGTGACTGTTCTTCCCTTCCCATCTCCCAGTCACTATGAGAAGAGAGATTTTTTTCCCCAGTGGGGGTCTCATTGTCCAGCTGCCATATTCATTTTGTACATTAGTTGTCAACTGGCAGATTCAGACAGACATTAAAAAAACACCTCAGACGCACGGATGCTGGGGAAGCACTGCCTTTCTCTGCACCAATTTTTGGCATTGAGGTGTGTGCAGAATCATGGCCTGCACTCCTTGAGAGTGAATATATAAGCAATACATGTACAAGTAAGAGGGAAGCCTGTGAATCTGCTTGGGAACCTGCTTAGCCAGGTCCTGATGTCTCCAATCTTTGGGAGAAGATTTGGTTCAAAAGTACCCCAGAACACTGCACAGTTCCATATTATTCCCAACTTCTGTTCAGAAGATAATCAGGGAAGTAAAAATGGGTCAGTACGAGTGGTATTGGCAGAGCTGTTTGCAGAATTGTCTGTCTGTATGCGCAAAAAGAAGAACAGGAGTACTTGTGGCTCCTTAGAGACTAACAAATTTATTAGAGCATAAGCTTTCGTGGACTACAGCCCACTTCTTCGGATGCATATAGAATGGAACATATATTGAGGAGATATATATACACACACATACAGGGAGCATAAACAGGTGGGAGTTGTCTTACCAACTCTGAGAGGCCAATTAATTAAGAGAAAAAAAACTTTTAGAAGTGATAATCAAGCTAGCCCAGTACAGACAGTTTGATAAGAAGTGTGAGAATACTTACAAGGGGAGATAGATTCAATGTTTGTAATGGCTCAGCCATTCCCAGTTATGTAGACTCTCTCCTCACGACCCTATGCTACCAGCACT